AAATCAATGTGTTTCTAAAAGCTATTCTAATATCAAACCTCTAATACCACCCGTTTTCCAGATAATCGTAAAAGGCCCAGAGGAACCTCATATATTATGAAAAAACCAGTTGGTCGGGCTTATGGCATCCTAAAACGGGAAATTTAGACCCATTATTAAAATTTTAATACAGTTTTTGATTAATATCGCACAATATTAAGAAAAACATTATTAAAGCAAAATTGTATTCTATTCTATATATATTTTTCTATATTATGATTAATTAAAACTTACGTATATTTTTTCTAAATAACTAAAAATGTAATCAAATGTTCTGCGTCGTCAATATAATTGTGTTTCTTTAAAGGAACATGTTTCAAACGTATCAACGGTTTCATTCTGTGATGCATGATTCTGCGTCTGAGTAGGTACTTTTACCTTATTTCATGAATGGTGCATACATTAAAACCAAATTTCCAAACATTGAAATTCTCCTATAAATAAGTAAGTTTCAATTAACCATTTAATAGAAAATCTGATGGTTTTTGATGTGATATGGCAAAATGTGAACGCCATGACAGAATAATAATGATCAATAAACTATTTTGCTACTAAATATGCATTTAATTTCAAATTTCTCCTAAATATGTCGCTTATTTTAAACGGACACCCTATATGTTTTTAAGTTATTGGTGGAAAAATTTTATTTTGTTTTGCTTCCCATATAATATTAAGTTAACAAATTATTTATTTTTCATTACTTGCACTTCGCTAGACAAATGTTGAAACAAAACCAATATTTTATGAAAAAACAATTATAACTGACCATAACTTTAAAGTTAACACAATCTGTATCATTAGTAACACTAAATAGGCGTAAAAAAACCATAATTACAATTTCCAAAATTATTCAATAAATCTTAATCATAAATAAACTCATCAAGCGTCCAAATAAATGTCAGTTTCTATTAACTTTCAGCATTTTTTAATGAAATTGCAATTGTCTAGAAAACGCTTAATTTTAGGAGCTAATAGTATATAGGTATAGAAATAAAATAAAATTTTCGTTCAATGCTGGATGGGCTGTCTTTCTATAAGTGCAGGCTCTTTTCGACAACTAATAGGTAGAAAATGGAAGATGGAGCGCCAGCTTGCGAAAAGCTGGTAAGAAGGACAATCAATTTATAAACTTCTAGTGTGACCTTAAATTTTCGAGAAGGTTTTTACCTTTCTATATTTTTTTCCTTTGCTTATTTCAATTAATTGGGCTAAGTTCGGATATACTAAATAATGTTTTTTCTTTCTTTCCAGGTGGCTCGATGCAGCTTTGGGTAAGTTTATTTAATTTTTATTTAATTACATTAATAATTTATTAATAATTTAATTATGCGTTAGCGATTGAGGTTTTTTAAAATATACTGTAGTTGTATACTACACTTTTTATTGTGGTCTAACAGAACTTGCGTCATTTGCGTCATTGCGTCTTTTACTTAGTAATTATCTAACTTGGCTATCGGTAAAATACTTATGTTCCTGTTATACCTTACTTAATGCTTTTTTTTAAGTGCATTCATCTGAAAATGCCTTGTTTAACAACTTTACAGGCTCAAAAAACTTAGTCGGTTTCGGCTAATTTGGGTTAAACATTCTAAATTATTTAAATTCACTGTCTCCACCCAATCAAGGGAGAAGAACCATCGTTAACTTTCAAGCCTTAAAAAGTGGTTGAAAAGGGCATTTTTTTAAAATTTTTGGTTCCACACGAGCTATCGGGTTAATCTTTTGCTAAGTTTTTATAAAACTTTGAGCTTGTGCAGTTATAATGTGGTGCAAAAGCGGCCAAAAACGGCATTGAATTCGGGTCATGATTCGGGATCTCTTAGAGCGATAGCATACTTAAAATGATTTTGAGATGAGCTCTTGATGATGATTCTCCTCTTGGGATTTTTGGGAAAAGTTGTCTAAATGGCAATTCCATATTCAAGCCAGATCATGATTTGTGAAAGTTTTTTTTTGTTGGGTCGCACTATTTATAGCGTTGGAATGTTTAACTTTTTTTAAATTAGTTTTTGCGTAAATATTACTTCTTCTTCTTGGCATCGTTATTAATTAGGAGCTTTGGTATTCGCGCGACTTTGGCAAGATAAAATCAATATTAATTTATTCGTTAATTGTCACTCAAACTTTGCATCAAGATTATGGTTGAGACAGACAAATGTGATTTGGAAAAACTGAAAAACCACCTACAATGAATTAGGAAATTTATCAGCAGCCATATATCAGGTCATAAAAGGCACTTTTGGAAATTACCAGTGGTTGATCTTTAAGCAGGAACTATTCTTAGAGTTTTCAGCTAAATTTTAGCCAACGCTGCTAGTTGATTGTATTAAAACTCAATTATCCTAAAATAATATCCATTATAGATGAATACGGCGAGGGTAAATTTAGCCGCTCAGTTTCCGTGAACATTTGTGCACTTTCCTATACTTCTCATTGCTTATTTGTGCCCACAAATTTAGCTTACATTTGTGGGCCGTCGCTGAGTTGGATATATGATTTTTTCCCAACAAATCCATTTAGTTAAGTATTCTTTGTTGTTCTTCTTGATTGTTAAATAATATGACGACAAAATCTTATAGGTACCTGATCTTATCAGAAATATAAATAATTTGTAAATTATCAATAATTTATTTATTACAGATTCACAATGCTTTACTATTAACACCTTTAAGCCTTTTTATTAAGAATATCATTACAGTAATTTGAAATAATGTTTAAAATTTTGTCCACAAATCAAACGATGCTCTCGAAAGGAAAGTAAATAAATCATCATCAAATAAAATTACGTCATGGTTGTTGTTCAGTGTTACTCAACTCAAGCAAGCAATTGGCAATTTCGCTATTTTTTTTAATTTGTACTAAATTTTTGCATGTTTTCTTATGGTATCAGAAACTTTCCAAGTTATGCTTTATGGAATCTTCACTTTATTTTTCCAATAGGCTTAATAGACAGAAATAATAATTTTTCATTTGGAAACCTGCGTAGTTGAAATGCCTTTTAAAATATGACCGGATTGATACTTTTTATTTATCTTTTGAAAAATGCGTTTTCTCATGCGACCTCAAAGTTTCGATCAACGCAGCTCAGCCTTTATATTACTTTTTCAAATTGTGGATTATTCATGAAGCATTTCAATTTGGTAGTTATTCATTATCCGATATTTCAAATATGGTTACTTAGGGCTTAGTTTAATGTAAAAAGTCGAATATTAGAAAATTTTAACCACATATCGTAGAAGGTAAACATCGTAAAAACTTCGTATTAATGATCTCCAAGATTAGCTAGTAATTCATTGAATATATCTACAGAGTGTCCCATAAGAAATTAAAGGCAAATATCTTGGGCCAAAATACGATTTAGCACAACTTAGCTTAGATGAAAAGTCAACAGAAATAGAAATACAAGGAGTCAAATTATTTCTTTAAAGAATCTCTTAAAAAAATTCTGCATCTGCAGCAAATGATGAGCTTTAAAATCGCCCTAACTTTTTTTTAATAGTTTCAAATAACATCCTGGATATTTGTTTACTGATATTTTCTAAACAAAAAACGTATTCTCACTTCGTATCTCTGAGAACAACGGATTCAGGCATATTTGCAATTCTAGTATTCAATGCGACAAATTTATTGAAAAAAAAATTGGGTATAATAATAGGACAATAATAATTTAATGCACAGTAACAATTTTATGAACACAACAATAAGTAAACTTGATAACACGAAATTAAAAACAGCTTTTGACAAAAGTTCTTCAAACTTAAGATCATTAGCGTCTATACATTTAATAACGCGTTTAGTAAACGATCTTTTAATAAAAATAAATGGTTATTTCGAAATGTCTCCAGATTATTTTGAATTTTTATTAATAATTAGTCTTACGTATTTACCGATTCTTCATACACTAAATACTTCAAGTATCCCCATACTCAAAAATCTAGAGGATTAAGATCCGGACTTGGTGCTGGCCATAGTGTTTCACTTTCCCGATCAATTCAACGGTTCGGAAAATTTGCATTCAGACAATTCCTCCTTACAGTGAGAAATGAGCTGGGATCCATCTGGTTTGAATATCACAGCATGTCTTATGTTCAAGGGAATGTGCTCCAAATAATCAAGTAAATCGTTTTGTAGAAAACCTAAATACACATTTTCACTAAGTAATTTTTTTACGTACGTGCAAATAGGATTAAATGTTTGCAATCGAGTACTTTAATTGCAATTATCTCGAAAACCGTTGATCTTAGGGATACCAACTAGGTATATCCTTTTTATTTAGCACACATTTAAAAATAGCTATTTGGGTGCGAGTTGTAACTTGGCAGTACCAGAAAAAAGATTCGCTGGTTAAATTTGCCACCTTTGAAAACCCCTGAGTAACTAGTTTTAGTAAAAAACTCCCACTTGCTCAAGTTATTTGAAAAAGACCATTTAAAAAACTTTCCCCTGTATTTCTTTTTTCACTGAAATTTCTCCTAAAGTAGGTTGTTTTTTTTGGTTGAAAATGTTTACATCCCAAACCAAATATGTACAGCACTTCTCGGCCTCCGTCTATTCAGGAGTTGTTCATTCCAAAATCACAAAATAAAATTTCCCGCTTGTGTTACTGCTGAAAGGTATTTACTAAATGTTCAAAGTGAGGCATCGTTTTTCAAAATTGAATCTCATCCAAGCAGCAACAGAAGTCATAGTGCTTCAAGCATTTCAGAGGCTTCCACAGCGCGTAGCTCATGTGTAAATTTAAAAGGCTTAATTTTCCATTGTCTCTACAACCGACTCTATAATTTAGAGCTGCTCCAAATTATTTCCTTATTAAATAATTTCACCTCTAAACAATACGTTGCTTCTGCATTCAGCAGGATGAATCCCAACGTTCGCACATTCTCCTTCCTAATGAATGAAAGTTAAGCGGCAGCGTACAATCCTGCTGTACTCCATTTCGGAGCGGTGCTTTTCCTGATTCCTGCGGCAACTCTCCTACTCCTGCAGCTTCCGCAGGGTAAAGTCGAACAGTTTCGCTCGCTATTCCTTCATTAGTCGGTTGCAGTCCTGCAACATTCGGCAGGATGGCGGTGTGGCGGTCGTGAATCTGACGGATAGCGTCGCGTGTTTGCTTCCGCACGTGCTCCGAAATCAAACAAAATTCCTGCAGGTGGATTCTGCAGGATTTTTACTTTCGAGGCATTGAGCGGCTTTTTGGTTTTCGTGCTTTGTCAACGCGAGGCTGAGGAAAATTTCATTGGCTGTTAGGGGTTTGAGTGCGGATTTGAAAGAACAAACTTGGAAGAACATGAAGAAAAACTTTCGTGTTTTCAGATTTTGACAATTTCCGGCGGATGGAATTCAAAAGGTTAGTTGTTTAAAGCGTTTTCGTTAATTTAAGGAATATAAGAGTCAAAAAATAGTTATTTTGAGTTAATTTCCGAAAAAAATATATTATACTATTTTTTAATAAATTTGAATTAGCTTTAGAATATGAAACTTGTACACCACTTTTTTTTTTTTAGTATAGATAATTTTCTAATAATCTTCATAATATGTATATACATACATCCAAATAGATTTTGAATTTTAAGATTTTCTAAGCTGGGCTTTTAGCACTGGTATCGATAAAATAATACTTTAACATCAAATGGCAAATTATATACAAACACAAAGAAACAACAATATGCAATATACATTACAAAATATCTAAAAGTTTGGGATTATAAACATTTTAAGTTATATAACAAAAACTTAAAATTTGGGTGATTCGAGATTATTTAAACTTCTATAAGTTTTTTTTGCACATGTTTTACATACAATTATTTCGTCTTCCTGGAAATTTTTTAACTCACTCATAAGTGTAATGTCATTCTTACACTTTTGGGATAATTTTTTTATTTTGTATAAAAGGTTGCGCTGATTCAACTTTAGTATACTCTTCATATAGGGTTTCGTGGTCATTATTCTGTCAAAAATTATCAAAATTATTTTATATTTCCTAGTTCTATTTATATAGTCCTTCCGAGCTATAAGGAAACTTTTCTCAAAATATCTCCATCCGTTTTAAGGAAATTTTAAATTTTATATTTTTAAATTAAATTTGCTCTAAATATATCTAAATATACTTTGTATAAGCGACATTAAATCGTCTTGTTTGTTTTTTGTTATATATTTGAACAAATTATAAATTACAAAAGTTTCTGTTAAATCGCCCAGAAAATATCTACTGAAACTACTAGTTCTACTTATAATAATTAACATTAATGTTGCATTGAATTAATGTTGAAAAAATGAAAATGAAAACTCAAAAATGAAAAAATATACTACATTTTTGTAATCTCAAGTTATTCTAACTGTAAGCGAACATTCTGCTTTTCTATAGCAATCTTTAACCTGTTTGTCTGCCAATTAAAGCTTGGAATATAACAACATATCTATAAATAAATACAATGAAACTGATTCTTCAAGCCCTAATAGCTAGCTAAAAAAGGTTGCTGATATTTATATATTATATATATTATAAAGTCAAAAGAACAGCGGGTACCAACATGCGGTTAAAAAAAAGTTTAAAAAGAACGTAATGAGCCTTCGATTTGTATTCCAAACTGGATACTATTTAACTTCATAAATTGGTTTTTGGTTGGTTTGGTTTTTGTTTCAAACCATTCTGCTTAGAAGGGAAAGAAAAAAGTTTTTCGAAATTTATGCTTTCGAGCAATTTCTCAGTTTAGCAACAATATTTAGTTAAGATCAAAATAGCATGTACAATATAAACAAACTAGTAAAATATTTAAAAAAAATAAAAATATATTTTTTCACAAATGGGTTTAATAAGTTAATTAAATAAAATACTTTAATATATTCGCATTTTTTTTATAAATAAAAAACTGAAAAATGCGCTTTTACAAACACAAATATATTGGTTCAAATTGTCGCAACAATTCTATTGGAGTTTTGAATATATTTATTCAAAGCACTAAAAATAATAATTTTTGAAAATAAAACAAAAACGTATATAAAGTATATATTTTTTTAATTTCTTACCATTTCAATTTTGTGATTTACATTACACAGTAGGTACGTTCCAAATTCTATAATGGAAGAATATCCCAAAGCTCCGTCCATTGCAATTACATTAGTAAATGTAGCTTACTTAAAATAGTGCGGGCGGTAACTTTAGCAATAAAGTTAAAGGAGCAACTGGGAGGGTCAGTTGTTAGAGAGTATCTATTATTCCGGCGGAAACTAAGTACTAAACTGTAGCAGGTATTAACTTGTAAGCGTTACTTTTTCGTTTTAGTGTTTTAGCTGAATATACCATATAATTTAGTACCAAAGCGATTAATTGACCTGCAATTAAATTCTTCAGTAGAATTCAATTGCAAATATTGAAATATGTTTATTGAGTCAATCAACCACAATATAACATGAAATTAACGAAATTCTGGGAATATTTTGAAAAATTTGTCGACTGTTTTAAACAAGGACATCAAAGGCATTTCCTGGCGATTTTAGGCCTTACCTCCAATGAGGAAATTAATTCGTAAGTTGTTATAGAATCGAAGTTATAAGTTGTTACTTATGTTCATTGGAATATAAAGCCAACTTTGTGAGCAAAATTAACTCTTAAAATCAAAGGACAATATGATTTTGCGGATGAGATCTAAATGGAGTTTATAAAAGAACTTCGTATTACTACAAGGTTATCTTATTTGTCTCAAGACTATAACAGTTGATGGAAAAGTTTATTTTAAGAAATTTAATAATATGAATAATAATAGCTTTGCAATCTTGGAAAAAATTTGCATTATTGCAACAAAAAAATTAAATTAGATTCTCCGAGAATCCGAACCAGGCCATTAATCTTCGATTTAAATTACACATTTTTTTGAAGAGAATAAATAAAAATGCAACGGAAAGTAGACTTCAACTGTTCGAAAATAAACGTAGCGTATTTTAATGTTACACGGATTTGTTGGGTGATAAATAGTCCTCTTGCATTAAAGGAAAAATGATTTTTCATTTTTCGAATCAAGAACTCGCCGAACTCCAATTTTGCCCCGTAGTTGTAAATAAAACCTTAAATGGACTGAACCTTAAGCGAGAATGAAAAAAGGAAGCAAATATTTATTTTAAATTATTCGAACACCCGTTATTAATCATACTAAATTCTATAACTTATTTCAGTAACGTTCGCAAAGCACATTGTATGCTCTCTGCAACGAACTCAATCAATTTACTTTCTGAATAAAAAACTTTGGTTTATCAAGAACATACAAAGTTCGATGCTTAATGATAAAACTGAGCGGATGTTTTTTTTATTTAAACTTTTTTCTTGAATTTTTATATTTTTTAAGCGTTAAAAGTAATTATTCTTCTCTTACTGTCAATCTCTGTAAATACAATAATGATTATACATTCTAATTTTTCATGCATATTAATACTATTTGTATTTAAAACATGCTGTTTTTGTCTTGCTCCATTTTTCTCCTTTTTCCGGATTTTCAAACAATATTTAGGGCTGTTTTTACAGAATCTGTGAGGTTTCCTGCAACTAGAGTTTAAAATCGATTTTACTTTAAAAAGCAATATTTTTAGATGATGCTATGAAAGGTTTGTTGTGGTTTTTAAATTTATTAGTGCGGTTATCGTTCCATAAAGCAAAAGTCGTTATTTATGATTTTCATTCGAATTAATTTCTTTTATGAAATTTGTTGAAAGAAGTGCGACAATGGTTATATTTCGAAATTGAGTGCGGTACGAAAATGAAAGTCGAACCAAATCTAATTGGAGATTCTATATAAAAGTAAATGAGCTTCTGTTGAACATTCAAGTTATAAATTAGAAAATTCCATATCTAAAGCTGGAAGGTGCCGCTTTAAAGTTGAGTTAAGATTGACGAATAATGTTGAAATATATTTGAAGTTATATTTTGTATGATTTGAGGAAGATGTATGATTTGAAGAAGATAGTATAATTTGAGGAAGATGTAACAATTTAATTTACCTCATATTCCATTATCAACAGTTACTCAAAATCATGACTTGATTATTGCAGTAGTATTAAGCTGCGAAAGTATGCGAAGATTTTCCGAAAATTCTTCAAAGAGTACAAGGCAAAGGAATCTTGAACTCAAGACAACGCATCGAAGCACGTATTTATTCGTCAAGGCAAGCTCAATAATGCCGATATTAATATGCTTTCGGGGTTCCTGAAATTGGTAAAGTGAAAAGTTTTTCCATCTTTGTCTTTATCGAAATATTTTTTCTTCTTCTAGTCTTAAATTCTTATTAATTCCTGTTAAACTGCGAATCGTAGACATTACGATAAGTCTGCTAAGACTTTCTGGTAAAGGACGGGGCAGGCTGTTTTTCTATAACAAAACTTTATTGAATTTTAGCACAAAAAATCATCAATCATGCTGATGATACAAGCTTGCTTATTTCATATTGTTGTGTCATTAATACAGAAGCAAAAGCTAAGGCTGTAGTATCAAATGCCAGTGGCTGGTTTAACAAAAAGAGTTTGGCGCCTAATAATAAAAAACAGCCTGGTAGACTCTAGAATACGCAGATCAACAATAAATAACAGTAAAAAAATTATGTGGGTTTCAAAATGTGCAAATCTTGGGATTCTTATGTAGACCGTATAGCCACGAAAATGAACAAGATTTCATACACTCTCCAATATTTATCAAATCACACAAATTTTATGAGGAAAAGCTGTGTCAACTGCGAGAGAGCGTTTGTTTGTGACTAAAAACTATTTTATGAATTAAAACTAGATAGATATGCACACTAATTTTATATAAGAACAGATAACTATTTCAATGATGTGTATCAAAAACAATAACCAACAAGAACAGCTAAATATGCAATATTTTATATAATATTATATAAGACAAATTTTGAGTAAATGTGGGACCAGTAGCAAATATATAATATATATAAAATAATAGCAAGTTCCAAATATAATTAACTATTTTTAAAGCTCAGACTCATTCAAAAAAGCTATTTTTGAATGACTGGCAGATATCGACTCCTACCCTATAGAAGAGTATATTGATTGCAAAAACTATGAGAACGTATTAAATGGTGTTATGTTAATTTATTGTTTTTTTACTGTAACTGTTTTATTTTATATTTTGTAGTGTATTATAAATAGGATCGTTAATATTAATGTTGTAAATTTATCAGTGTTTTCAAAATGGGAGACTCTAAAGTTACAATTAAATTAAAGAACACGATGTCGAAGAATCGCAGGACCCTCACACTTTCAAAATGCTTGCAGACATATTTTGATCCCGTCGTCCATTCTTGAAATGGGCCGTTTATTTTAATATCGGAATGGAAAGTCTACATTGCA